AACTACGCCTTTGTCTCTTTGTTTATTTTGAATACGCGCCCTCTAGCGGCGAAAATATTGTGTCTTTAACTGTTAATGAGCGCAATTTTATATTTTGTCACCGCTGAGGCGAAATTATATTTAACCTAGAACAAAATGTGATTGTATTGCGATGTAACCGGTCATTATCAATCATACCTACACAAGTAACTTCCTAAAAATATTAATGCAGATGTCAAAAGACTAAACTACAAAAGTTGGATTACACTTTATTCAGAGACTGAGTTTTAACTCAGAAGCCACAGTTACGGTACGGTACATTGACTAAACATGAGTACTGTTATTTATAGCTTAGAGATAAATGTACGCATCACAAACAATATCTACTTCACCAGCTAATAACTCATCAACAGTGATGCTATAGATAGGGCAAAAAAAAAACATAAGTTCAAAAAGAAAATTCTAAAGATGGCTGCGCACTTGTTTCTCTGATGCATAATAAAGCAAGAAGCCTTCACAGGGATTATTGCTTTTATAAAACGGTTATTCCATATACGTAGTAAGGTTTCACAAAAGAAAACAGAGCAAATAAAGTGTATTGATATTAATAAAAACAGTATTCTTCCACCAAACAATGTAGCTCCTCAGAAACAGTTGTGGTTGCAACAAAGTGATTGTCAAGCAGCACACAGACGTAAACAAAGGTGTGTGTTTGTAGAGTAATTTACAACAGCTTCGAACGCAGCTCAACCAATCAGAATCAAGGACCGGAATTCTCCGTTTTACAAGGACTATATATACTAGGCCTAATTAGTGGCCCAAACTCAAGTACATTTAACATTGCTTCGTGGGTGAAATTCACACAATTAGGAATTTTGCAGGAGGGCATCTCCTTGAACCAAACAAACCAAACTCTCCTGCAGTCTTACATTCAACATGCTCTGCATGAACCGAAACGTTCCGGATGCTCAGAAACTCTCCGTCACGCTGATGACCTGCGGGTGGACCCGTTTCCTATTGCACTTGAACAGCCAATCTTTCTTGCGCCTGTAGCGCTTGGACAGCAGAACGTAGAGGACGGGGTTCACGCAGGGGTGCAGATACTGGAGAACCGTGCAGGTGAAATAAAACATCTCCCATGAGCGCCCGTGCTGGTACAGTCCCAAATACACACACAGCTCTAGAACGTACCCTGGCAGCCAGCACAAGGAGAACATCCCGGCGGCCAAGAACACCATGAGAGACGCCCGCCGTGTGTTCCGGGTGCTGGCGAAGGACATAACGGGTCTCTTGTGCAGGAAGAGAGCCATACGCACAGAGTTGACGGCGATAACCATCATTGGGATGAGATAGAAAAGCACAAACTGGCTGAGAACGACCTGGTAATGATGTTCCTGGGTAGTGGGCAAACAAACGGTGCAGTTACTCAAACCTGGGCCTAAGCTTTCCTTAGTGGCGAAAATACGCAACGGCACACTTATAAAGAAACTCAAGGCCCAGACCAGAATAAACAAGAGCACCACAAGATCCATGGTTGGAGGACGGTAGGGGTTGGTGATGATCATGGTGCGAACCATAGAGACGGTGCACAGCGAGTACGTGCTGGCGGCCAGGGAGAATGCCAGCAGAAACTGATAGACCTTGCAGGACGTGATTCCCAGAGGCCAGGAGAAGCTGACCGCCGAGTGGACCGTGAAGGGGATGAGGAGGAGCATGAGGAAGTCAGCCAGAGCCATGCTGAGGAGAAGAACGTCCAGGCGGTTTTTACGAAAGCTCTTGTGTTTGGCGAAGAGAGAAAAGGCCAGCAGGTTGGCGCAGAAACCGATGCCCACTATGATGCCACAAGTGCAAGCAAAGATCACTCCATAACTGTTAGTGGCTCCCTGTGAGAGACAACACAGGGAGCATCTAAATTCTTAGATGTGTGAATCCAGTCAAATATATTATTATTATAGATAAATATCATTTAACATATTTAAAATAAAAAATCGATATACTTTTGTATAAAATCAATTAAATTATAAATTATGCACACTATAAAAATTTAAATTATGTGAAATTAAATGTTTTATTATACATTTAAATATATAAAACAAATAAAAATGTGTATATATATATATATATATATATATATGTTCAGTGAACCTTTGAATTGTTTTTTTAAATTATATATAAAAATAAAATAAAAAATATATATATTTTTAATATATATATTTTTTTATTATTATTATTCCTCAGTAAAACATCATTCAAAGGTTCACTGAATTCAGAAGTCAATGCCAACTTGCCACATTTTTCAGTTGGCTACTGAAAATCATAAATTGTAAAATATATAGTAAAATAAACAAGTAAAATAATTGTTATTATTAATGAATTAATAATTCATTTCACATATTGCCAGAGAAAATTAGTTACTCACCATCTCAGACGTTCAATTAGACATCCGTGTATTCGCAAATACATCCGTCATTTATCTGTGCTTTCAGATAAGATTCAACAAATCATTTTTAATTGAAAGAGATTAAGACATAATCTCGCTGTGAGAATACAAATAAAACAGGCAAGCTTTCCCTAATACTTCCATTAGAATAAGTGCCATTTACAGAGCCAAAAAGGACATGACAAATGTCCATGTGTCAATGAGGTCTCCCCGTATGTCAGCTATTACCTGCTGCTTTTCCATCTCTCATTCTCTGATCGGAGGCTCATTGATTTGTGATTGATCTCTGGCTCTTCTGTGCTGTGGTTTATGAGTCTTTAAGGCATGGCATGTGATCCTAAAGCACTCGCAGGAAGTTGACAGAAGGTTGCATTTACCTCTCCATCCATTAGCACGTGTAGTGAAAGGTGTATAATTGTTGTTAGAGCCATTTTTGTGTCTTTATTTGCCTTGTATTTGCCCTCTGAGCTCAGACACATGTCCACACATTGATTGATTGTTCCACCGTCCTCAGTCACTAGTAGTAACCGCTACCTAATGATGAAAGAATAAAGTGACACTTTGCATGCATAGAAAAATAATCATAGTAAAAACTGCAATCATATGGTGCAAATCATGAGAATGGATTCGGAGTTGCTGTAAAATAAGCTTGCATTTAATTCTTTTGTGAATTTCTCATCAATTTATTTACTGAAAATAGCAGAGCAATAGCTAAAGTAAAAGAATAGTTGAAAAAGAAATATTTATATGTATATAAAAATATATATGATTATTTTACTAGGTGTATAAAAATATAAAAATATGTTTTGAGCTACATTTAAATTCTTAGATGTGTGAATCCAATAAAATATAATATTATTATAGATAAATATCATTTAACATATTTAAAATAGAAAATATATATACATTTGTATATGTAAGTATATATATAAATATATTTTTATATAATTTTTATTATTATTACAGGCAAAAATTACATTTATAATACAAGTAAAAAAATATAAAAAAATATTTATACACACACACACACATATATAAAGTTTAAGAAGTTTAGGAAAAAATATACAAATGTTTGCCTTACATCATTTGCAAATCTTTATAATATAATATGTAGTGATGTAAAGGTGTTGCTTTGCATGCATAGACAAATGATAATACTAAAAACAAATCATGCATGAGAATGAATTTGGCGTTCCTGTAAAATATATTTTAGTAGCTTTATTATGTATTGCTCATCTATTAATTTTTTTGAAAATAGCCGAACATTAACTAAAAGAAAAGAAAAGCCGGATAATACATTTCGAAAAATAGAAAAATACCAAAAATCTGAATGTGGACCGGCATAACTATCTAAAGTGCATTTGAAAATCTCCTCAAAATCAGCAGCATTGAGATACATTCAGGGAATAAATATTCCAATCAAATAAATTAAATATTACATGAAATGTCTGACTGAATGAATACATTTAAAACAGGGAACTCTTGATTATAACAAATGCAAATTAGTTTGTATATGAAGCGCTTTCTACTTATCAAATGAAACTCTAAAGTAGAGAATTGATTAGAGGCTAATAAAGGCCTTTATTTTAAACGAAATATAAACCATGATTTAGTCACTTTTTTTTTTTTGCAGAAGAGTCCTCAGTCACATCCCATGCCAAGGTGAAATAGTCTTTACATTTTAAAGGTGCATTCACTGACAGCAGTTTAATCAATGGAGGTCGCCTGAAGTCTCTTCTAATAGGCGTTGCAACTCGACTGCTACTTTATCAGGCAGCAAATCATGTGACCACATTCTGTCACTGTTCATCTGCATAAAGCCTGCTCCATTTGGTCAGATTGAGTCACTTCTGTTGCTCCGAATCTCTGTCAGTGTGATCGTCCCTTCATTCTTATCCAGGCTCTTTTACTGGTCTCTAATCAGTATTTGCATACGGAAGCCACACACCCCTGTCTCTCCTTCTATCCAGGTCTCTCCATCTCCCCAAACTCATCTTCCTCTTCCTCTTCGTCATAGCTTTCAGTGGCTGCTCCTCATATCTCCGGGTCTTGCTAGTCTCTTGTGGTAGGTCGTCTCTCGTCCCTACAGTCTCCATTTGAAAGCTCAAGGGGACGTTTTTGGTGCTGCTGATGGGTTTGGGCCGGTGGGCGGTGGACCATAGCGGGATCTGGACGCTTCCTTCACTCTGACTGGGGGAGTCCCATGCCTGAGCCGTGTGCACCTGCTCAAGCAGTTCCTGTATCCACATACGTCTCTTCCGGTCATGCAGGGATCGACCCCTGTCATGCATCATCTGTGCATGACCGACTGAACGCCGCCTGGGATGAAGAGAGAGAGAGAATATAGATATTGACTTTAACCTGAACTCACATGCAAAGATGTTGGCATTTGACTAGTAGACTAGTAGGATGCTTTAATAGAATGATATCCCCTTTACTGCATGCAAAGCAGTGCATTAACTTTGCATGGGCTTCCTAAAAGATGTAGAGTCCTATTTCTTCTATTACCAGCAGATGGCAGTCTCAACACAGCTCTGACTTTTTGAGATCTGTCAGAAATCAAGCAGTAAGAGGCTGAGCAGATCATGACTTACTGTCTGTTGCCGAGAACATTAGTGGGTCTGGGCTGGATCGGTATTGGGATGGTTAACAGGAACACAGCAAACCCCCAATGCCTCAACATACTGCTGGACAACTGAACACAGGAGAAATTCACAAGGGCTATCAAATAGTATCTACTGTACATATATACATATATATATATATTAACACACTCACACACACACATATATATATATATATATATATATATGTTAATATTTTACTACACATATTAGTCAAAGAAACGGGCAACAAATATAATACAGATTTATAATACATGTAAAAATGTTTTATATATTTAAAATGCAATATTAAAAAATATTTGCCTTTAATTTATGTTAATATTTTACCACACATATTAGTCACAAAATAGGCAACAAATATTTATAAGAATATTTGACTTACATCTTTTGTAAATCTGAAGTATTTTTTAATTTAAATATAATGTGATATTCTGCATACACATTGGCTATATACATATATATATATAGATGTATAAAATATTATAAATATATAGAACATATTTTGATATTCTACTAGGTGTATAGGTAAAAACACATTTATTCATATATTTATTTATAAATAATTGCAATATATATTTTTAAGAAGTTTAGAAACAAATTATTATAATATTTATCTTACATCATTTATAAATCTGATTTGAATTTAAATATAAGATAATACTTAAATATTAATTTTAAATATTTTAAATATTAATAAATATTACATATTTTACATATTAATTTAATAATACTTTTTGAATACTTTTTTCACCTTCTGCATGCATTTTAATAAAAAGTATTTGCATAAAATGGAAATAGTAATTGAATGATATAATTAGACAGCAATTGACACAAGGTGTAATACATTAAACTGATGTTGTAAGGCTTTGACATTGATAGTATACTCACATGTAATGCCACTGCTGAGTCGATCGGTTATTGCATGTTACTGCCACCGGCTAGACGTGTTACAGCTGTTGAAGAGCCACATGTGACTGTACGTTCATTAAACCAAGAGCATCAGCTGCTGCATATATGAAGCATGTTAATATGTCCAAACTCCACTGGTCCAGAAGACAAACTCTTCCTATGTCTCCTTCTAGAGGGTTTGAAGGAATGAACACAGAGAGGGAGAGGGAGAGAGGACCAGAGCGATGGGCGTTAGATTTATTGCACCAGTGGGTCATGTAAATCCCCTTTGCTGTTCACTGCAAACTGGTATGGACAGCAGGCGTTGCAACAGAGAAAATTAGTGTGCACTTCATGCTTGTCTCTCTCTCTGTGTGTGTGTGTGTGTGTGTACCTGGTATTTATCATGTTATGGGGACCAAATGTCCCCATAAGGATAGTAATACTAGTAAATTTTGACCTTGTGGGGACATTTTTGAGGTCCCCATGAGAAAACAAGCTTATAAATCATAGAGAATGAGTTTTTTTGAGAAAGTAAAAATGCACAGTTTCCTGTGAGGGGTAGGTTTAGGGGTAGGGTTGGTGTAGGGCAATAGCACATACAGTTTGTACAGTATAAAAACCATTAAGCCTATGGAATGTCCCCATAAAACATGAAAACACAACAAGTGTGTGTGTGTGTGTGTGTGTGTGCGTGTGTGTGTGCGTGTGTCTGCTGCCCATGAGTGCCAAAGTGTAAACTAGACTGACAAACCACACACACACTTCAAGAAATGCACAGGCAAACACCTTCATTGGAAAGAGGGTGGTACGTAGGTCTCTCTCTCTCAAAACACTCATGAAGAGCTCAGGTTTGGCCAGGAGGGGGAGCGTATGAGGAATAATCGCCCACTGATCTCTGACTTCAACCTTTGATTCATTTTTCTGTCTTTAGTGTTTACTACAACTATTAGGAGCTTGTCCACACACTGGGCTCTTTTAATGTATGAAGTAAATGCCGGAAAATACTTATTTTTGACTTAATTATTTCCTGAAAGCCATTTAAATGACAAATTATTTTTTACCAACCAATCTTCAATCTTCATTTAAACGATTCTTCTACCAACCAGTTCTTCATTTAAACGATTCTTCTTCCAACCAGTTCTTCAATTAAATGATTCTTCTTCCAACCAGTTCTTCATTTAAACGATTCTTCTTCCAACCAATTCTTCATTCAAACGATTCTTCTTCCAACCAATTCTTCATTTAAACGATTCTTCTTCCAACCAATTCCTCATTCAAATGATTCTTCTACCAACCAATTCTTCATTCAAACGATTCTTCTTCCAACCAGTTCTTCATTTAAATGATTCTTCTGCCAAACAATTCCTCATTCAAACGATTCTTCTTCCAACCAGTTCTTCATTTAAATGATTCTTCTACCAACCAGTTCTTCATTCAAACGATTCTTCTACCAACCAGTTCTTCATTTAAATGATTCTTCTTCCAACCAATTCTTCATTCAAATGATTCTTCTACCAACCAGTTCTTCATTTAAATGATTCTTCTTCCAACCAATTCTTCATTCAAACGATTCTTCTACCAACCAGTTCTTCATTTAAACGATTCTTCTTCCAACCAATTCTTCATTTAAATGATTCTTTTACCTAAAATTATGCTGCATTATGTTAAACGCCTAACATTGGTCTTTTACTTTCTGTGGAAATTCTATGCGAGAGCTCGGAGGAACATTATAGCTCATAGCGGAGACCATGAGACTCTCCCCTCCCAAAACATGGGTGAACCTGGGTGAAGAAAGTCAACAGCTTTGGCTGACCACTGTCCCAAGAGATTATGACCATAACCTCAGTGAAATCAAGCCTGTGGGTGGGTCTGTTCACCTCCTAAGCAAACGTAATGGTCAAGGTGGTTTTCGGGGAGCCCACAAAATAGTACCGCTTCATTTATAGGCTACGGAGCAAGAGGTTCACAACATAACTAATGCTCATCAACTACAAATTTGTTCTGTGTGACACTAAAAATATATTTCCATATTTATGGGACAGTGCATACATTGGAAAACAAACCGACTAACACTAGCGTTTAAACGTTTGGGGTCAGTAATTTTTTTTTTTTTTTTAGTCAGCAAGGATGCATTAAATTTATCAAAAGAGACAGTAAGGACATTTAAAATGTTCCAAAAGATTTCCATTTCAAATAAACGCTGTTCTTTTGAACTTTGTATTCATTAAAGAATCCTAAAAAAAAAAGTATCATGGTTTCCACAAAAATATGAACTGTTTTCAACATTGATAATAATCAGAAATGTTTCTTGAGCATCAGATCAGCAAATTAGAATGATTTCTGAAGATCATGTGACACTGAAGACTGGAGTAATGATGCTGAAAATTCAGCTTTGCATCACAGGAATTAAATTAATTTTAATATATATTCACATAGAAAACTTTTTTTTTTAATTGAAATAATATTTGACAGTTTTTAATGAATTTTTGATCAAATAAATGCAAATTGGTGATCATGACATTACAAAATCTTACCAACCCTAAACTTTTGAGCGATGGTGCAACTTTGGGTCTGTTCCACACTTATAACTATTGTATAAAGGCTTAAAATATGTGCTTGACAGATATGTTATACACTTTCATGAATGACAACATATAACAGCATATGAGTTTGAGGGGCTGCAACAGAAATGATGACAGAATTTGCATTTTTGTCACGTCTAATTTTCTCAATCTATATTTTCCAGAGAGTTTTTTTTTGTCTGCTGGAATTTTATTCGATTTTGAAGGCTTTAGTCTGAACATAGCCTCATAGTCATTTGTCAAATAAAATATGGTCAAATATGGCATTGATAAAGTGAAAAAGAAACTTTTTTTAATCTCCTAAAAACCATATTGACAAAAAAAATAGCCAAATATATATATATATATAGAATATATATATATATGTAAATATAGCCTGTATATAGCCAAAAAATGGTTCTTGATAAGAAGATCCTGAACCTGAAGTGCTGCAAAGAACCTTTATCTGTAGAAGTGCAGATTTTCTGCCAAATGTGTTTCGTTGCATGAATCCTTCATCTTCATTCGTTCTTCTCAGTAGCCTTGCACTTCTGAGAAACGTTTAATTTTTTTCTTTCTAGTCAGTGACAGCATCGTCTAGCAATGTTCAAAAGGGCTTGGCTCATCCACACTAAAGTCCAAAGCCCTGCGTTTTGTTTAACTGAGTTTCCTTTCCGCTTCCCGTGTACTCCTGTTTTGTTCTTGTGTTTGTTTTATCGTGTAACCGTGCGGGAACACATGACACGATTTCTTCCACTTGACCGAAGGGTTTTTAGCAGAAAATTCTGGCGTCCCGATTTAATCATGCTACCGAGGAACGTCTCGGATTTTTGCGGTCTTCTCCGTGAAATTGTTAAATGAATAAAATGTGTCATTTAACACCTCGTCGGTTCCCCCATCGACCACTGGCACTTGACCTTCTCAGCACTTGGACAAACTTTGATATGACACCTGTAGTCAAATGCCACTCCGAGTGAATCGTGGAACATTTGAGAAACATGCGAGCTCTGGTCCGACCCAACCACCCAGTATGCCATCTAACCGTGAGATTATTAAGACTGATGTCCCCAGCGAGGCCAATATTTTTTGTTCTACTGCAGAGCGTCGGCAATTTATCATCCAAACATCCCACAGGTTTGTGTTGTGTAGGTACTTTTGGATCTAGTCCGGCGGGTTTGATTCGGTGCCAGAGAAAACATGGCCGCCGTGCCAACAGGCCGTTTAGAGCCCGAGCTGTGAAAGCCTGTCTGAGGGTTCCAGTAAATCCTTCTGCTAGCAGGTAAGAAGTTTGGAAACCGATGAAGCAGCTCCCAAACCCCCAACACGCCTCCCACCACTGAACTCCACAAGCAGCGCTTCAGTTAGGTTGCTATTGTTTGATGAACAGACTCGCGTGTCATTTCATTCATTGACATTCGCACTGCATCGATACGAAGGCACCTAGAGGACTTCTTCATGAAAAGAGTATTCATAGAAACTCTGTTTAAATATTCAGCACCAGGGGCCACAGAAAGGACACACGTGTGTTCTCAATAAAAACTAGGTGAAACTTGTCAAAGTCAAACTTGATGTGTTCCTGAGTTTAGAAGGCATACAAGAGAGCTTTC